TTCAAAGTCGCTCAACGTGCTATGGAAAGGGCTATGCTCGGCGTTTCTCTAAGGGATCGCATCAGAAATGAGGTGATCCGGCAGAGAACTAAGGTCACCGACATAGCGTACCGGATCAGCAAGTTGAAGTGGCAGTGGGCTGGCCATATTAGCCGCAGAACCGATAACCGTTGGGGAAAACGAGTTCTTGAGTGGAGACCGCGTCTCGGCAAACGTAGTGTAGGACGCCCACAGGCCAGGTGGAGTGACGATTTGCGCAAGATGGCTGGCAGGAGCTGGATGCGAGAAGCCCAAAATCGATCTAAGTGGCGTGCAATGGGAGAGGCCTATGTCCAGCAGTGGACTGCGATAGGCTGATGATGATGAATTAACACTAAATTGATCTCATTCAAAACGTATCGCCAGCATTAACTTACTTAACACGACGGTCATGACACTGACACATAAAGCCCTAATTTACATATAGATTGTAAACCATCAATGATGTCAATAGTAGGTTAGACATTGCAGTAAACATATCACGAGTAATGTAATAAATATAACCTATTTCTCAAACACCGTATATGCTTTCAATATGCATTAAATCTATGCTTATATTATAAAGCTGAAAAGTTTATTTGTTTGGTTGAACGCGCTAATCTCGGGTACCACTGGTTTGAATTGAAAAATATTTATCAAAATATATAACATGTAAGACTATATAACATTTATCAAAATATATAACATGTAAGGCTATATAACATTACACTACGACCAATGGGAACCATTCAATCATCAATGAAAAATGTTGCAATCATCATCATCATAATGAAGAAAACAAAAACGGGGCAAATTTATTCCTTTTGAGAGACGCAGACAAAAATGTAATAAATATGTATAATTAATTACGAAGAAGACAACTTTATTCAGTTTCTACAAGGTATGTATATCTGTCTATGTTTGGCAGCATTACGAATTTGACGGAATTGAATATTTTAGATGTAGCTTGTATGCCTAAATAAGTATAGCAAGCTAGGAAATTTTACAGAATGTTACAAATTTCTGCTTCATCGGTCGAATAGATTCGGCGCAAATTGGTTGTGACAGAAAGACAGGCATACATCGGTTCAATAAGTTGCTTTTTTCATTCGGACGTAACTTCTTTATTATTATTTATTAGATTATCAATGGCTTATCTATTTGATTATTACAACAATAGTACTACTGCAATAAAAGCCTAAATAGATATGCCGTTCATAAATTATGCGACTTGTACAAGCCGTGGTCAGGTTTAAGCTTGTCCAACTGTCAACGCCACACTGAATAATGCTCGTGTAAATATCACAGAACATTATGCGTCTGACAACTAATAATTCTTAATCAAGAAAGAAACGAGTTTTCAAAAAGTCAATGTTTTTCATTTTCATGAGACATACACATTGTACTAAATTGACGAGAACGATCGTCTAGACTACTCTAGCGCTAAAAGTACTCAAAGTAAGTTAGATCTTGGCCCACATTGTCGACCTATACCTCATCCTCGAAGTGTAATGGCTGATATCCAGTAATAAATTTCAACAAATAACGAGGGAATTTAGAGTCATTAACTTTTACGAGGTCTTAAAATAATTTACACGTGAAACAAATGAGTTTTGAAGTACTAACACGAAGGTTAGAGTAATGCTTCCGTATTTTGAATTATCAAAGCCAGTCATAATTCCAATAATAATTAGGTCGAAACCAATGCTCGAGATAAATATTATACTTAAATAAGAAAAAGACATCTTACGAGCAGATTGTACGGGTGTCGTGTTCTACTGCTAGAGGATGAACATTACCGCACAAATCACATTTAAAATGTCTGATTTTCACGCCTAAATATTTGTATTTGTCTTAACTGTATTTGTCTTTTAATATATCAAATTAATTAATCATCATCATCAACCTCGACAGATCATTAAATTTTCACACAAATTAGTAAAAAAAACATTTTGTTTATTGGACATTTATACCGAAAAAAATGCTTTTGTTTACCATGACAACGTTTATGAAAATAAGACAAAAACAATTTACGGAACACCTTTACATAGGTATACATGAGTAATCAGGGAAGGAAAGGTCAAGACCGACCTCTCTGAAATAGACTTACGAGTATATTATACTATAATAGACTTGAATTGCAAATTTTACCTACAGCACAGATACTACAGCAGTGTGTAAGTAGATTTATGTAACAACTGTTATTAAAGTTCGAAAACTACAAATACGAGTACAGATAGAAGGGTACATTCATTTGTTTTTAATATATCTCACACACGGCCATCTGATCCCAAGTGCCCCGGGTGCGCCAACGCGCTCGCTGCCACCCCGGCCTGCTTTTGCTAGGGTGACAGATGGCCTCACCTGTCACCCCCAGGCCTGCGCTTATGGAGGATGGAGGTCGTTCTGCTACCTCCGGCGCCTGAGTCGCCTGCGGTGCCTGGCCCGTTCCCGGGCCTGGCGGGCCGGGAGAGTTTTAAACCTCTCCCGGTCCCGCTCCGCCGTCTCCTTCGCGAGCATAACTTGCTCGCAGAAGGAGACGGCAGAGTTCCACGCACTCTCGCTCCGCACGATAGCCGCAATCAGGCTATCGAGCGAGAGAACTCCCACTCCGATGGCCGCCACGAGGTCTCGCCTCTGCTCAACCCACGCCGGGCACTCTGCCAGCGTGTGGAGAGCCGTGTCCACGGTCTGGCCATCGCAGTGGTGGCACTCAGGCGTTGGCTCCTTGCGGATCAGACACAGGTGATCTCCGAAACATCCCTTCCCAGTGATCACCTGCGTCAATCAGTATGAGAGGGTCCCGTGACGCCTCTCGTGCCAATCCTCCATAACGGGTCTTACCGCCGCGATGACGGCATGTCCGTATGGTAACCAACCTGCTGATAAACATACTAATATATTTTTAAACATATTATAGATAAATTACACCCAGACACAGAACAAATGACCATGCTTATCACACAATATTTGTCCTGGGTGGGAATCGAAGCCACCATCTCCGGTTTAGCAGTCAGGGTCACTAATCAGTAGACCAACAGGCCTGTATTTATACTAATAGTTCCATTCATTTTAACCCTTTGAAGGTTATTTTTCATCTGCCTCATCTGGAAATTGTTATCTATATCTACATAATACACTATCAATTTGACGTTACAACATTTATAATGTTAGATAAGCGTCACTATATAATAACACCACAATAGATCTACGCATTACGTTATTGCTTCCAAGTATGTTTATCTTAGCTTCTCACTAATTTACTGTCTCAGGCGATGTTTGATAACAAGTGAAGCGGCTTTTGATATCGAAATAAATGTACTTGTGAGGAACAACGAGTCGCAAAGCAATCAATATTAAGTTATTATCATTATCAGTAACATCATAAGATTAACGATATAAAATAAAGCGTGATAGTCGAAAATGGGCGACGTCCATTAAGGTAAAAGGTTCTAAGTGAGAGAAAAAATATGAACGTGCGTGCAGCCAAACAATAACTGTAATTATTATTGGACATGAAAGGTAACATCAGGAAGTGACAGGGAATTGGAAAGTAGATAAGCCTTGAAAAAAATAACCAACGGGGAGCTGGTTCTATTATTTTATTTTAAAGTTTATGCACAAATTATACAATGGGGGACTTAATACCATAGGCATTCAATCATCAATCAATCAATTAACGACATTGCCATATCTGGAAAATTAAATTTCTAAATACAAATTTAAAAATGTACCGTTTACCAAACTATTACAAAGACATCGACGACATTTGTATCAGTGGCAGTTCAGTGACAAGTCTTTGGGAGGCCATTGGTCTTTCATTGTTAGTAGAATATGAAAAGGGCAAAACTATTCCGACGACATTTCATCGACAGTCTATTCATCATCATCATCAGCCTATCGCAGTCCACTGCTGGACATAGGCCTCTCCCATTGCACGCCACTTAGATCGAAAGTCAGAACCAGTCTATTGATACAATATTAAAAAACAGAATTGAGGCCCAGGTCAAAATATGGTTTACAAGAGCCGAGGAGATAGTTTCCTTCAAATAAGTCCACCCACTACTATTTTGACTACTTGCTTTATATGTCTGGCCGGACGTTCATGACTCTCAGTTACAAAAAGGAAATTTATTTAATTTAGACGGAAAGAATTTGGCTAAAATTAGTCAACTTCAGATTAGAACAGATAGAGCGTAACATGAAATGAGCATTTACCCATAAACTATACTGACCTGGACAATAGTGAGGACCCATCAGCATGTATTGCGGCAATGGTCGAGTCTGTGGCAGACCATTTCCTACACACAGGCTGTATTTTATTACCGCTTTTATTTGCAATGTTTTTTTTTACTAAAGTTAATGTCCTTCTAAACCGATTACTTAGTAATGGCGACCCTAAACTCCATTAAAAGACTCTTACATTTTTTTCTACAGTCGTAACTAGTAGGACAGTAACAGATATAAATGTTTTCAAATTTAGGTTGCCATTATCTTTTAATTGAATAAAAATATGACGAAGAAACGTCGACCGTTATGTTCACTAGAATGTATTTAGCGTATGAGTGTATTATGTTGAAATAAAATTTTTAGGAAGTGTTAGTCATATTTATTAAAGACACCACGATTTTACCGAAGTATGTATTTGGGGATTTCCGACTGGTTTCAGACTAGAGATGGATGATCAGGATAGTCAATTCATAGCAGTGAGCAAATCAAGTTAACAAAACCTATTGTGTTATAGAAATTTGAAATTCCGAAATCCCGTGGTGTTAATCAATAATGCTAATTGACGATAGAGATATTCAATACATTAGTTGGAATATACTCGTAATAGAAATATATATACAGATAGATAATGAGATTACTGGGCTTTTCAGAGAAATAAGCTGAGGCGCAAAGCTACATTATCACATGTAGACAAACAAAAGTATCCCAGGATACTTTTTAGCGATTTCTTTGAATAAACATTGCTACGTTACCTGTACTCGTTGGCATCGAATGAGGCTTTGAGTGTGCGTGAGTATTCTAAGGACCATGTGTTCAATAGTGCTCTGTTCCTCGAACACCATTCTGGCGAGGTCGAGGAGTACTTGGTTTCTTTTGACTTCCAACTGTGACCTTTCATAAAGTTGTGCATTCCGCAGCCCGATGCCGCAGAATTGAAGATACGACGCGAACACTTTTTCATCGTTAGCCGTGAAGGGACCGTCGTTTTGTTTGTTTATCACCTAGAAGATTTAGTGTGATTAGTATTAATGGCTTAAAGGTGTAACTTAAGTAGTTTAACTTTATTCCTCATGTGCGAAATTAAAAGTATAAGTATACTGTAATAAAATAAATTTACAACAATATTGCCTGCGGCTTCGCTCACGTGATTATTTCGTGTTTTTAACTTTTAAAGTGGTGAACTTCCATACAACCGTTTATCCTGTATTTTACCCCTTTAGGGGGTTCAAAATTTCAAGTTTGTAACCCCAGCGATTTAGGCTCTGCGTTGAAGAATCAGTCAATCAGGGCAAGTACTTGTATATGTGTTATGTATAAATTATAATTCTGAAGAGTTTGTTTGTTTTGGTTGATCTGCTTATCTCTGGCACTACTACTTCAAATTGAAAAATTATTTTAGTGTGGATAACCCACTCATCGAGCAAGGCAAATTATAATATCACGCTAAGACCGAAAAGAAGAGCTACAAAAAATCCGAGTCATATCGCTTATTTAATTTAGTATGCTAAATTTCGTAGCCTAAATGTTGTAGCAATAAATAAATATTTTTCGAGACCGACGCCAACGTTTAACACTCTAGTCAGGGACATCGCTAACGGACAGATGTCATAAGATAATACAAAGTTTTGATAACATTTCACAAAGCAATTTTAATTTCATATTAAAATCTGAACTTTTTTGATTACATTTATTTCTTTGGTAAGCTTTTGTGATACCGCTTTGTGGCCCAGCTATATTGATGTTGGATATAGGATGAAAGTACTTACATTAAGATTAAAAGTTGATTTTTCTACGAGTTCTAGGCAAAAAAATTGGCGGTTATGAATGTATCATCATCATCATCATCAATGATACATCGCCTGCGAAATATCGAAACACAGCACTCTACGACACATAGATATTAAAATATTTTGGCTGTATGATACGATTCGATATATTGTTCTCTTAGAAAAATCTGTAGGTACATATTATAAATAGTTCAGCAATCGTATCTCGCAGTTTTTGTCGAGTTTTTCTCAAAATTATGTTTCCAATACCTATAATTACTTATATCATTGTGCTTCATAAGTCAAATTGATTACGTACTCTAAATATATATTTTTTTGTTTAATTACAAATGCAATAGTATAGTTTTCATATTTTTCCCTGTACTTTTAGTATTAGACGATTTTACTTGCCAAATTTAATAGAACTAGTGTCGAAATAAGAACTTTTGGCGGCATAAACGGCCGTATCTTTTTTTTACGTTAATTTAGAAGTTTGAGTTTTCACAGCTCAAGGGACTGTAGACGTAAGTATATGGTTTTAATTTCAACTCGATCCTCCACGTGTGTCTTGATGGACGGACAGACGGAGAACAAAGTTATTCTAAGGGTTCCGTTTTTCATTTTGAGGTACGGAACCCTACAAAGAAATAAATAGTGCTATTAAACATTTAATTTGTAAAAGAGATAGTGAGTGTAAAAGATCGTTACCAGGAAAGAAGGATTTGTTTGGATTAGTAGGTTTGTTTTTGTAGACAGATTTTTATGGTGACGTAAAAAAACAACTGTCGTGGTAAATTATTTCATTCCGTTTGAGAACGGGTAACAAAGTGTATTATTTACAATACCAAAAACATCTAACAGGTGGAATTCACAACGCTTATAAAAAATATATTATTACGGACTTTAAAGTCATTAATAACAAATTTTGAAAAATAAATTAGAATTTAGTAATTATGAATAACAATTAAAATATTATGAATTTAAAAAATTTAAAATTTTGTAGTATTTTTGAAAATTAAAAATGATTAACTGCGTTATGTTATATTTAATTAATTTTTATAGCATATTCATTTAACTTAACGCATGCGGTTACGATACGAGATGTATACACACAAAAGAGATGCGACAGTATATTGCCTATAGGTACAGACTTATTCCATACGGTTTGGATGCGGGATTAATTTAGGTATAACTCAAACCATCAACATGAGACGTCAATGTTTAACAATTAGATTTACTTATACTATACACTGTGTGGTATATGTACTTATATACTGTTGTTACATACCTGAGCAACACCGATGACCTCTCCGTTGATGTCTTTAATAGGCATGCAGAGAAGTGATCTCGTTTTGTAACCTGTCTGCTGGTCTATGTCGTGGTTAAATCTCTCGTCCTAGAACATAAAATAAACATTCAGTAACACATATTATCAGAATAGATCTTCACTACACAGTTGGCTAACGATACTAAAATGATACAGTTCGTTAAAACCTGTAGTTGAACTGTTATTATTTCATTAGAAACACGTTCTAAATGGAGATTGGAGTAACATAATAGGAACTGGGCTAAGAGTAATCAGAGTCGTAGCCGCGACCGCAGACCGCATCTGTCCTCTACACAGGCGCCTCTCTACCTGTATGACATGCTCAATGTCGGACATACAATTGCGAATATAACGGAAGTGTATCTCTTTTAGTTTTTCTTTTTTTATTTATGGAAGTCGGAAGATTACATAGCAAAAATTAACCATAGGTAACTCTCAGACAATATACAAAACATTGATTCATTATTTTCATTTATTTTGATCCCAGTACATTGCTAATCTTATTTATTAAACTGAATCGCGTTCGTTAGTCGTACTAAAATTCGAGAATGGCTGAACCGATTTGACTAATTTTGGTCTTGAAATATTTGTGGAAGTGTCCAGTTGACTAGAAAAAGTTTAAAAGGCGAGAAAATATAGAAAAATGCGAGGAAAATAGTAAAAACAATAATTTTCCACACAAAATGTCATGTAAAATATTTGGTGCCGTCGTGTTACTATGAACCCGGCTGTCTTCAAATTAAAGAACATTAGTAAATAATGATTTCAAATCGACAGCTATCAAAAATATACAGTACTCGAATTATCGTGTACTTAGATATAAAAATTGCAAATAAATAGTGTCACTTATCTAAGAAAGTACTGGTTCGAATTGAAAAAATCTTTTAGTGTAGCCCATTTATCGAGGAAGACTATAGGCTATATACATATAACATCACGCTATGACCAATAGGAGCCGAGCATCGATGAAAAATGTTGCAAAAACGGGGAATATTTATTATTTTTGAGAGACAGACGATATCTCAGCTAGTTATTTATTTATTTATTTATTTATTTATTTATTAGGATCTCCTACGAAAGATATACACAAGTAAAAAAAACAGTAATTAACAGAATGGGTTTAAAGTCGGTGTACTCCTTCACTTACAGGAGACCACAGCAAGCACAGTAAAAAAAAATTAATACCATCAACCAAGTGAACAAAGTTACAAGCGATGTTAAAAGTTTAAATTCTTAAAAGTAACAAAAAAATATAATTAAAAAATTGTTTTGATAAAGTTTTAAAAATACGAAATAAAACAAAAAATAATAATAATAATAAAAAAAACGTTGAGGCTTACATTACATTAAAGCTGTTAAGCATTTCTTATATTTAGACAAACATAGGCATATATCTATATATATATATTATAAGAACGTAAAAGCGATCATTGGGCTTAATATAAGAGATCGTTCCCTCTTGGCAAATGCTATCTGAAATGTTTCAACGGTAGGAATTTCATGTATCAGAGAATGTATGATTCGAAACTGCACCGTGCTGATGCCATAATAGTGTAACATACTGTGTCAAGAATATTTGGACCAAGAACTAAATACGATCGTATGGACCAACGCCAAAATGGGAGTTATATTGAGAGGTTACCATTCAGTATACACGATACGAATGTCGACCAGATAGGGCTTACACCTAACCACGGAGCTTATACAGTTTAACCCACACAAACCATGTAGGCCTAACCAAACTGATTTTCCGTATGAAAACTGAAGATGTCGTTTCATCGTAATGTTTTCTTCATACACGAAAAAAAACAGTCTTTCGTATATTTTAACCCCTTACTTATTTATTACTAACCTATTACTTATTTAAAAATGCCAATACTACGTACGCTACTTAATAAATAATTATTCAATTTAATTTTTAATCAATTTACATCACTTAATAATACCCATCTTCGTTGTTTTTTTTCGCTGCTTCATTAATGATATTGTGAAAATATTTAGCAGAACAACATTTATATTTCCTCGCAATGGTTTGGTAAATTTAGTTCAACTCCACATTGATATAGCACGATCACAAAAATAGGTTTAATTTTGGCATTTTTTAATCTTAATCAAATTTATATGCATCTAGTAGAGTTATATTCCAAAATAGGATTTTACAAATAAAAGTTCAAAAATCAAAATCTAAAGTCACGTGAAAATGTTGGAGATCAAAGTTTCATTACAGATTCTAAACTTGGAAGCATCGTAAAAGTAATGGCCAACAAACGGACGCTCAGGGATGTTAAATTCTTTCAAGAGACTGCCTGTGACAACTTTAATATTGAACATTCATGAAATGAAGGGCAAATTTTGTAGGTTTTATCCATATTATAGTTGTACGTGACTTAATATACATTCATATCTAATTTAATAGTTTGATTTTATTTAAAAAGGTACTGGAAGATTCTTATACTACATCTGTATTTATTCATATAAAAGGCAATTGTTGTTGACTAACTGATCTATTAATGCATAGCTCAAACCGCAACCGCCGAACGGATTGGTCTTAAAATTCCATACAGTAATATTTATTAAATTGATACGTTAAGAATATTTTTGAAGTGAAAACTTCTTTAGCGGCGTTGTACACTTTTGTTGTAACGGGTAAAAAATATTAAACTCGCGTCAGGACACGTGACCTGATCGAAAATTCGTAAGACGGTGGAGAGTAGATAGCTAGCACGGCGTAGGAGAGGAAGTATCCCCCTCTCTTTCTACGGCGCGGCGAAAATGTATGCCTGCGCCTGCTGTTTCGTTTAGGCGGCGCAGGGCGCTTGCGCGAATGTTCGTGTGTGTTTATGTTACAGCGTGGCACGCGCATCCATGGATGGTGACAGCGTCTCGATAAATTGTCATGTTTGTGTACGATAGCGCAATAAATAAATATTGTATTCTACCACATAAATGGTAGTACTTTTATACTGATAATTAAAGCAATTCGTGCAAAATTATTCTTTAACCATTCTAAAATATCAAAAATGTACAACGTTAATATTCAAGTTTTCACTTCTGCCGGCACTCCCGGAGTGCAACCCGTCGTTTTTTTTTTCATGATTACATTTCTTAAAGGATAAAACATATGTTTAAAAGTTAGCTATTATTGTTAATTAATAAAATTCCCTAAACTGTGCAACAGACGGCAGTCAAAATGTTAGTCATCGCAATAGATCGTAACTCCAACTGTTATATTCAGCAGCCGATAAATTTTGTAACAGAAAAAGTGCTCACATAAGCATACGCGGCAATACACTGTCAGCAATTACTAAATTGTATAGGTCAGAAGTGGAATTACCAAGTGTTCTATTAGTTTCAATAACTATTGGTAAAGAGTTCAAGATAGATTAAGGTTTAAAATAATTTAAAAATCATTTCAAATATTTTCTGCTCAATAGTAATATTATTTTCACTATTTACACTCATAATAATAATATTCATTGTTTTCTTCCCGATGGTATTTTGGGCTAGGGTTTAGTAGGGTTTAGTCTAGTAGTTAAGCCCTCAGGTCCACTCCATCTAAAGCTCCAGGTTTATCCATAATAATCTAATAACACTCAGTTGAAACTCACTGTATTCAACACTTAAGTTAGTAACAGTAGCTACAAATAAAAAAAATGTTTTATCTTGGATTCGTGTAGACGTTCCTAGGTGAATAATAGCTACGAACAAAAGAGAAAGTTTTTATTTCGCTATGTAACAGATTCTGTGGCCGGCTTAGCGTAAAAGTGCTAATGTTAGGCTTTTCGGGTAAAGCATCCATTATCCTCTTTGAAACTTACACTGTTCGCACGGATTCTATTGTCTTCAAACTACTTAGCAAGATACAGGATAAAAGTTACATTATCGATTACATAAACTGCTTGTTAACCATTATACCAATACTACCTATTCAATATATTACTATTATTATTATTTATTATTACACTTATATAATGGTTAACATTCAATATGTCACTTAATAACGAACTAGCTTACACATTTGCGGTAACAATATTACGACTAGTTAGTAGGTATTATGCAATTTTTATTAATTACATTTTATTTAAATATTTTAATTTGTAAGTGATAATTTGTAAGCAGCCAGTTTCCTATAAGTAAATACATATAATAAATTGTTTATATTTAACTAATTTACCTTTTTCATTTTTTTATGTTTTTTTTTATTAAACATCATTTCTCTTGTTCAAAAAGTGTGATATTAATTATAAATCATCAATAATACACACCTCATATTTCTTGTTTTAATTGAAATATTGTCTATGAGATAGGTCATGTCCTGGTACATCGTTGGTGGAAAATAAACTGTGTCAATCAATTCCTTCATTAAACTGAAAATCAGTGAATGCAATAAAATCTTATATATAAAATTCTCGTGTCACAATGTTAGTTACCATACTCCCCCGAAACGGCTGGACAGATTTTTAAGAAATTTTGTGTGTGTAAGAAATTTTGGGTAGGTCTGAGAATCGGCCAACATCTATTTTTTTATACCCCTAAATGACAAGGGTGACCCACCCCTAAATTTTTATTTTCAATATTTCCTAGAAATAATGTATATGGCAAAACAACGTTTTCCGGGTCACCTAGTTTTAATATATAAAGTATTGTCGTCATCCTGATATGAATTAATTGTAACAAAGTGAATTCATGTAAATATGCTTATTGAATGGCAATAGACTATGTTAAGATCCAATTTATGTGCAAAGCAACACTGCTACAATCGAGTACCAAAGGCGTAAATTGAATTAACACACTTTCAATAATCTCGTTAAAAATAAAAATAACTGTTCAGGTAACATGCTTTCGAAAAGTAGAACACCTAAGTAAGCTAATTGGCATAGTTCATTTCAGTCGATAACAATAAGACATTGTTACAATAAGATGTTGATTGTCTAAAGCTTTTCAGACTTGTAGTAACGTTTCGTTAGTTTTGGATACAAATATAATGGATATGTAAATGAACAGGTAGACAGGCAGGACATGGCAGCCAAAGTGATTCACTAAACCGGCTTTGCATCTAGGCATGTGGC